TCTTTGGCATTGCCTTTCTTTGGAATCGGAATGTAAACTGACCTTTTCCAATCCTGTGGCCATTGCTGAGTTTTCCAAATTTGCTGGCAAATTGAGTGTAGCACCTTTACTGCATCGTCTTTTAAGATTTTGAATAGCTCAGCTGGAATACTGTCATCTCCACTAGCTTCCTCAGACAGCCATTTTGCTTTCTTGCATTTCTTTTTTTTGGGGATAGTTTTAGTTGCTACCTCTTGTACAATGTTGCGAATCTCCATCCATAATTCTTCAGGCACTCTGTCTATCAGATCTAATTCCTTAAATCTATTTGTCACCTCTACTGCATATTCATTAGGAATATGATTTAGTTCATACCTGAGTGGCCTAGTGTTTTTCCCTACTTTCTTCAATTTAAGCCTAAATTTTGCAATGAGAAGCTCATGATCTGAGCCACAGTCAGCTCCTGGTCTTGTTTTTACTGACTGTATAGACCTTCTCCATCTTTGGCTGCAGAGCACATAGTCAATCTGATTTCTATGTTGACTGTCTGGTGATGTCCATGTGTAGAGCCGTTTCTTGGGTTGTTGGAAAAGAGTGTTTGTTATGACCATGGTACTCTCTTGACAAAATTCTATCAGCCTGTGCCCTGCTTCATTTTGTACTCCAAGACCAAGCTTGCCTGTTATTCCGATTATCTTTTGGCTTCCAATCCCACATGATGATAAGGACATCATTTTTTGGTGTTAATTCTATAAGGTGCTGTAGGGCTTCATAGAACCGGTCAATTTCATCCTCTTCAGCACCAGTGGTTGGGGCATAGATTTGGACTACTGTGATATTGAATGGTTTGCCTTGGATTCGAATTGAGATCATTCTGTCATTTTGGGGATTGTATCCCAGTATTGCTTTTCCTATTCTTTTATTGACTATGAAGGCTACTCCATTTCTTCTGAGGGATTCTTGCCCGCAGTAGTATACCTGATGGTCATCTGAGTTAAATTCACCCATTCCTGTCCATTTTAGTTCGCTGATTCCTAAGATGTCGATGTTCAGTCTCGTCATCTCTTGTTTGACTATGTCTAGCTTGCCTTGATTCATGGATCTTACATTCCAGGTTCCTATGGAGAAAAAGTCTTTACAGCATCGGACTTTCCTTTCACCACCAGATATATCCACAGCTGAGCATCCTTTCAGCTTTGGCCCTGTCGCTTCATTCTTTCTGGCGATACTACCCTCTGCTCTTCCCCAGTAGCATATTGGACACCTTCCCACCTGAGGGGCTCATCTTCCAGCATCATATCGTTTTGCCTTTTAGTACTGTCCATGGGGTTTTTATGGCAAAGATACTGGAGTGGTTTGCCATTTCCTTCTCCAGTGGATCACATTTTGTCAGAACTCTCTGCTATGACCTGTCCGTCTTGGTGGCCCTGCACGTCATAGCTCATAGCTTCACTGAGTTACGCAAGCCCCTTCGCTACGACAAGGCAGTAATCCATAAAAAGGATTTAAACATTAGCTTTTGATTTACTGCCATGTGTAGGCAGTTCAGCTGTTTGAGGGAGAATATTTGCCTTGCTGCAAACAACAATAGGTTTAAAGCAAACATATCATAAAACAAACATATCATAAAATTTTCCAAATTTTAAAAAGTTCACTTTAAAAGAAAAATGCACTTTCCTAAGAAGTGGTGCCTGCTTCTTCTGCTGTGTTTTAAATTATATGCTTTAAATGCATTTTTAATTTTTTTTTTAACCTGGGTTTGTTGTTTCTAGAGTTGGCCTGAAATCCTCTGAACAGCAGAGGATTAGTAAATTAGTAAATTAAAAAAAAAAGCTTTTTGACATGCACCATTCCCCCCACAGACAATATTAAATAAAAGATTAAAAATGAGATGGTGAAATTGTAATGCACTTTGGCAAGAAGGCTTAAATGTAGCATTTTAAGCCACATAACTTTTATAAATGTGCATCTATTGGCTCTGTGCCGACTATTCCATTTGCTCCAAGTTTCACTATAGCAGTTCTCAGTTTTCTCACATTGAAAGCAACAAGGTTTGGGCTGTGATAACCTCAAGAATTTCCACTTTCTTCAGGCATGAATGTAAAAGGGTTGGAGAACTGAAGAGAGCAGTGGAATTGGCCCACCCTTCACTCTCTGATGTTCAGTTCTTTATCAATTGATATCTCTCACTTTTTAACAGAATGTGAGTCTCCACTTACCGCAGGGCCAGAATGTTGCACAGATTCTGTTTCATTTCTCCTGCTCTCAGAAATTGTCACTATGGTTGAACTTCTTATAAGATTGGGGAAGACTCTTGGTAATTTGTTTTGGTCGCCATGGTGTTAAAAAAAATGTTGAGACTCTAGAAAGAGTGCAGAGAAGAGCAACAAAGATGATTAAGGGACTGGAGGCTAAAACATATAAAGGACAGTTGCTGGATTTGGGTATGTCTAGTTTAATGAAAAGAAGAATCAGGGTACACGATAGGAGTGTTCCAAAATTTCAGGGGTTACCACAAAGAAGATGGGGGGGGGCAACCTATTCTCCAAAGCACCTGAGGGCAGGACAAAAGGCAATGGATGGAAACTAATCAAAGAGAGAAGCAACCTAGAACTAAGGAGAAATTTCCTGAGAGCGAGGACAATTAACCAGTGGAACAACGTGTTGTAAATGCTCCAACACTGGAAGTTTTTAAGAAGAGATTGGACAACCATTTGTCTGAAATGGCACAGGGTTTCTTGCCTGAGCAGGGGGTTGGATTAGAAGACCTCCAAGGTCCCTTCCAACTTATTCTATTCTATTTCTATTTCTATTCTAAATTATATGGGAATGCATCTTTGTTTTTATTATCATTAAGTGGAGGAACTTTTCCAAATATAGCCCTGCCTTTTAATCTGAATGAGGCAAATATAGTTATTTTTAAGCAGGGCAAGTATCCTATTATCACTTCTAATTATAGATCAATTTCCTTGATAAATGTGGATCCAAAGGTTTTAAGTGCTACTTCGCAGCCTCAATTGCAAGGTGTTTTTCCAGTTGTTTGCTGTGCTGCTGACAAGGCTGGATCTATGCAGGATCACCAAGCTTCTCACAATAGCAGATCTTAAAAGTCAAGTTCTGCTTTTTCCTCAGAATAGACAAGAGTCCATAGTTATAATTTCTCCGGACTCTGAGAAAGTTTTCTGTATCATTTTGAGCTTCCCCATAATTTTATACCAAGGATCAATAAGATTTAGTCCACCCATTAGTTCCAGCTGATTGTTAACAGTGGGTCCTACTTTGGGGGAAAGGCAAATAGAGCCTAAAAATGCTAGTAATCTTCCTTTTCTGCTCTATCTAACCTCATTTCTTTCATGCCTCATTTGGGAATCCTCTCTGGTTACTGTAGAAATAAATCTGAAGTAAATCAGATTTGGTGCCACTGGTAACAATCTAGAAGAATACACAGACGAGGATTCTGATTTGCTGATTTATGTTAACACCAGAGTTTCCAGGAAGCATTTTTGTTTAGATTTTGCAAAAAAAAAAAAAAAAAAAAAAGACAGGATAGGACAGGATTTCTAGGACTTGGAGAGTCCCAAAGGTGCTTTTTCTTTGAAGACCTTTGCCTTCTCATCCAACAAGCTTCTTCAGCTCTGTCTGGATGGTGGGGAATGGAAGGATTTATATTCATTTATATTTGCAGCTTTAAAGAATGCAAATGACCAGCTGTCTGCAAGGAATATAAATCCTTCCATTCCCATTCCATTAATTAAAAATAATTAATAATGATAATAATTATTGTTTTTAAGATTCTCACAAATGCTGCAGAAGAAGTAGGGGGGGGGGAATGAAAAATAAGTGCTTTGTAGTGGCCAGAGACAAAGGCAGGAGACAAAGAGTGTTTCTAAAAAGCTTTCTTTTTGCGAAGTCTCTCTACAAAAAGCCTACATCTTACATCCCATGGATTACATGCATCCTTGTGTACCCTGCCCATGGTTTTGGAAGAACAGCCATTCTATTATGTCCAAACATTTCACCTGTCTTTCACAAAGATAGGCTTCCAAATATCTCAAACTGTTGCTGCTAAGCTATGCCTTCAGCCACTGAAGCCCTGATTAGTATGACAACAGTCATATTCCTCCAAACAGGAGGAAGGTGATCTTCCTTCTATCACTTTTTCTTTTAAAATATTATTTTTCAAAATATCAATTATAGTACAAAACAAATTAACAAAACACCTATATACACTAAAGAAAAATACCCAATTAAACAAAACTGTAAACAAAGAAAAAATTAATAAAAATAAAAAACCCTTACTTTATATATTAAACTTATCAAAGGTACCCAACTCTGTACCAATTACACATACCTCTATGTTAAACAAACTCAGCCAATTGTAGCTTATTCAATAAATCATTATTAAACAAACCATCATTTAACAGACACAAAATCAAAGCTTTTGATTGGCTGTTAGTTCACCATGTCTCTGCAAAACCCAATTTCTGCTTTAAAAGAGTGTGAGAAGATAGTTCAGGGAGACTCAACTTATTGGAGCTGATGGCATGGGGACAGATTTCTTATTTTGGCTGTAATCCAAGGAGAATATAAACAGAATGTGGGTTCCTCTAACCTTCTTTTCATTTTACTTAAATTTGATTGCATTAGGTCCTTGAGTTTCAATCTTCTTCCTATGTTACATATTTGAAAAACTAGACAATTGAACTCATTGGGATGAAAAATAGCAAGATAAATTTTCAAATGGCTGCTTGGACTCTATTTCAGTTGATTAAGTCACATTATTTGAATAGCTATCAAAAAGGCAAAATACATAGCCAGCACTTTTGTTGAGGAGCACAATAACATTTCCCCAAGTGATTCTGTTTTTTTCATTAAGAATATAAGGTAGGAGGTAGTAAAATCAAAATGTGCATAGATCCACGTGAGTTAAGAGCTCAGCTATGTGGGTACCTTTGTAGTTCTGTATTACCGTAGATTTTAATGGCTTTTTAAAAAACTTAATTTTTGCTTCATATCTGTTTTTATAAAGTATATTTTCTACCTTAACATATGCTTATTAATTTTCATATGCATTCACTTTTACTTATATTTTGTGTGCTAATGACTGAACAACCATGAGTTTTATAAAAATATTCTTAAATTAAAACCCAACTTCGATTTTTTAAATCATAAATCTACCTAGTACTATAAATGAACATTAGAGTAGAAAAGTCAAATCAGAACATAGTGTTTGATGCAGAATGAAGATATATTTTTTTCTCAGTTGAACGACAAAATCATGTACCTTGTGTGTCGTGAGACATTAAGCGTGCTACTGGGCGCGAAAAGTCAGTGTTTTTTTTTTTTCTTTAACGTTACACTTTGGATGAAAGTTGTCGGCAGAAGAACCGGGTGCAAACGCCCAGGGATCTTCCTGCTGCTGCAGCCGAGAAAACAGGCGCGTGAGGACGTCTCCTGCACCAACCGCGCGGCGTCCTTCCTCGTCGGGCGAAGCGGTGGAGCGGAGGTCCAGCCTCAGCGGCCCCCGGGGGAAAGGCGGGGGATGGCGGGTGAGAAGGTAGGTCGGCCCAGGGTGGCTGGTCTAGGCGGCCCAAGGGACGCAGGTCGAACTCACACTGGTTGCGGAGGGGAACGGGCAGGCCGTTAGAAGTCGTTTGGGAGATAGGGACGGGGCTGAGGGCGGCCGAGAGGAGGCTGGCTTGACTCACTCTCCCTCCCCAGTTAGGTTTAATGTGAAGGTCGTTAATTGAAACAGGAGAAAGGGCTGCCGTCCTCCTTCCAAGACTTATTTGCGGGTATTTTCAAAGTCCCGCGTGTCCCCGCTGTCTAGTTTTTCTAGCCAAGCCGTTTGGCGGTAGTTGAGAACTCTTGAGGAAGTTCGCGTTTCTTGACTCCACTCAACGACAAAACCGGTGATCCTAGTTTATTTTATTTTACCTAAAATATTTATGTCCTTTCTCGTGTGTGTGTGTTGCGTGTGTTAAACCTCAATGAAATGTATTGTAAAAAAAGATAAGTGGAATAAACCAGATTAAGCCAGTCTTCCTCAATGGCAGGGGCGGCGAGCACTTTATCCCTAGGGTTCTATAAAAGTCTTGTACAAAAATTATTTTATCCTTCATGGGGGCAGGAAATAATGACGGTTTAATTTATACCTCAATCTGACACAGATTTTCATGGAACTAAGGTCGTTCCTTAGTTCCTGTGAGTATCCTGCTGTGTATTTACCATATATCAAATCCCTTCTTAATCGATTTGAATTTACTTGCAGATAAACATATGTTTTTGTCCGTGGAGACGTACGTACCCCTGGAGTAAAAAAAAATTACCTGAATGATAAATTATATTTTAGCAATGTTAAGTGTAACTTTCTTTGAATGTAAATGCTATTAAATGGAATACCATAGACTTCTGACTAAATGTTAAGATTCATGTGGCTATATTGTATTACATGCAAGCTTAATAAACATCCATTAAATTAATTATGAATATATTGCTATATAAGTAGGTCATTGCAGAATTAAAGTAGTTTAGTAGATAAAACAAAACTGCAATATTTCATTTGGCACATTTTTAATCCACAATCTAATCAAATCCAATAAATAGGTTTGAATGACTTTTTATTATTGCTGTCAAGGAGATTAGTCCCTAAGTATTTCAGATTCATTGATACATGTGGGATAGCTATGTACCTCAACCTTGAAACTATAAAGTCTTCTTCAGTTGTAAAAGGTATTCAATATCATTTTTTCCAACTGGGAAGCAATTTACAAATTATTTACAAATCATTCAGTGTTTGGAAAATGTATTGACAGTATTCAGACTAGTATATAAAAGTATTTGTATTCACAAACAGAAAATAAGAACAAGACCTTGTACAGTACAGACAATATTTTGCCACTCAACAAAGGAGAGATGTCATTAGTTTTTAGCATTATCCCAGCGTGAAGAATTCCTACCAAAGAATAACTGAACTTCCAGAACATAGGCTATGTTCCCAGACTTACATATCAAAAAGATATAAATATGCAATGCCAGCATATTTTTTCTACCTCGTTTCCATGACTTTACCTTTAGCAATAGCACTTAGACTTGTATACCGTTTCACGGTGCTTTACAGTCCTCTCTGAGCAGTTTACAGAGTCAGTATATTGCTCCCAACAATCTGGCTCCTCATTTTACCAACCTTGGAAGGATGGAAGGCTGAGACAACCTTGAGCCAGTGAGACTTGAACTGCTGGCAGCCAGGAGTCAGCAGAAGTAGCCTGCAGTACTGCAATTCTAACTGTTGCGCCACCACTAGTCTTTATCTCATCTATTCATCTGTGAGACAGGCATAAATCATCATTAGCTATACCAGTATTGTAATAGTATTTTCTCCTTTATTCTAATATTATTTAAGTGCAGCCTTAAAATGTGTAAATCTGGTATTGCTCAATAACCTAGTATAGGTATAATAGAGGGAGAGTAATGGGTAGCATATTTCATTCTGATATACCGTAACATTCTGCTGATTTAAAAACATACAAACAGTACTACAGCTTGTACTATTTATTTGTTACTGGTAGTGGAAAGAACCCTTAGATCAAGGTTCCACAAAATAGTCAGTCTCGACCCCCAGGTTTGATGGGACTAACCAAAGGGCAGTATTATTATTTGTACTATTAGTTAAAGTAGAATTATTAAATTATTTTCATACAAAAAACTTATACAAGTCAATGAACTGAAGAGTTTGGGGAACCTGCCTTAAATCATTGAAATGTTTAAAATAGCATCTTTGGTAACTTGCAAGTTTAGCTTTCCAGTGGCAAAGCCCTCCTCTTTTTGCCAGTTTTCTTTGGCCTGAGATGGTTTGGGTGGCCTTCTTAGGAAGCTTCTTATAAGCCAACTGCAACTATCCCTCCAAGGAGAAAATGCTAAACACTCTGAGCCTCAGGATTTCAGAACATACAGAAGGGTGAGGAGAAGGATGCTAGCAAAAGAGGTGGATTCTGGAATCTATGTCTTTCTCTAGCGTCCTTCTCTCTGGAGAAAAAAAATGCTAGCTAAGAAAACATGCTACTCTCCTTCCAACAACACTGGTTGGAATTGGACCTGAAGGAAGGAGGAGACCATTGCAGGATAGTACTCAATCAACTAAGCCAGTCCAAAGTATTACCATGGTTAATGGAATTGGAGACTGCTGAGAGGTAAAAAAAAAAAAGGATAGGATGCATGAATTACTGCCATCCTGAGCCCACCAAAAAATTATCTACAAGTGTGACCAAAGCTTTTTCAGGACTGTATCCTGGCTTGGTATTTGACTGGAAAAGATCCACATAATTCATTTCTTCTAGGACTTTTTAAAACCTGGACCTTCCCAGGAAAACATGTTGGAGACTGGATAAAGATTGTCCAGATATGTAGAATCCAGTGATTATTTCTTCTTGAAAAAGAGTATAGACTATAGCCTGTTTCAGGCATCAGGACCATCCATTCTCTCAATAATTCGCCACTAGACAGATCCATCCACATGCCATCTTCCTGGCCTTGATCAACCAGGAAGGGCTTGAATCAAAATCACAGGTACGGTATCCACAATACTAAGGACCTTATTCACTTCCTTAAGTTTCCTAGAATCAAAATAATTATAAATAACACAGGATCAAGCTTTAGTCAAAACCATAGGACTTGCCCAGCTGGAGTCTAACTTGGAACAAATCTAAGCAATTTGATGCACAAGGTGCTGATAATAGTTGTTACTGCAGAACTGCAGGTATCTTCTCAGTCATGCTGTAGGAATTTCTTCTGCTGTTTCATCTCCAAAAATCTTTCTGAGATTCTCCTGAAACTAGGAAGCATGCCAGAGTCTGTGCACAAGAAATGTCCGCAGTGGTGTGATCTATCGTCTTATTCAGCAATGCTTTATTCAAGCAGCAACCAAAGCCTCAATCAAACCTAAGAACAATCTCAAATGCTCTCTGAAACCTGATTGGGTTGGCACTCAAGAATTATTTTTATTGTTTCTAAATTATGCTGGGAATCTTCTGGTTTGATAAAATGCTTAGAATAAATATTAAAAAATATTAAAACAATCACTTGATTGCATGCATTAAATATAGATTCACACAGGTGCACTACTCTTAATATCATTTTCTCTCCCCCCCCCCCCCCCGATTAGGTGGCTAAATGTGAACCCTGCGAAAGAAGTTATGATAACATGGTAAAAATGCTTGAGGATCTGAACAGGGATTTGGAAAAACTTCTGGAAGACATGGAAAAATTATCAGGTGTGACATATTCCTGAATGTATCTATATATTGCTAACAAATTGTCAGTTCAGAGAAATAAGAATTTATTGCAGTTTTTGTAGATGTGCATTCGGATTACAATGCTTATGAGTAACTTGTTAGACTTCAGTAAGGCATTTGATAAAGTAGACCACAACCTACTTCTTGGTAAGCTAGAAAAAGGTGAAATAAACAACATCACCACCAGATGGATCTGTACCTGGTTGGCAAATCGAATTCAACAGCACCACATCCACATGGAGAGAAGTAAGCAGTGGGGTGCCACAAGGTTCCATCCTAGGCCCTGTATTCTTCAATATAATAATGATGATGATGATGATGATGATGATGGAAGACACAGTTGCAGATCAATGGTGAGAGACTGGGAGAGGTTAATATCAAGAGAGGAATATTTCAAGGAGATTCATTGTCACCATTACTATTTGTTATTGCACTGTTTCCTCTGCCAACAATACTGAATAACTCAGGACATGGCTATCAAACATCAAAAACATCTACCAGACTATCCCATCTCCTTTACCTGGATGATCTGAAGCTGTATGGAAAAACATCATCTGAAATAGAATCGCTGCTCAACACTGTCCGTATATATAGCCAAGATATTGTTATGAAGTTTGGCTTGGACAAATGTGCCACACTTACTATCAAACAAGGAAAAGTAGTGAAAACTGAGGGAATCAAGATGCTCCACGAAAGGAATGAGGAAGAGTACTACAAATACTTGGGTATCCTTCAAGCTGACAACATCAAGCATACTGAAGTCAAGAAAAAGATTAGAGGTGAATACATCAAGAGAGTGAAGAACTTAAAGTCCAAACTCAATGGAGGAAATACCATAAAGGCAATCAACACCTGGGCAATTCCAGTCATTAGGTACACTGCTGGAATAGTGGACTGGACTCAAGCAGAACTAAAAGCAATGGATAGGCAGACCAGAAAAATAATGACAATGAATCATGCCCTTCATCCACGCAGTGACATTGATAGACTTTATCTACCAAGGCAAATAGGTGGGCGTGGAATGCTACAAGTACATCAGATGGTTGAAGAAGAAAAAATGGCTTTGGAAGAATATCTGAAGAACAATGATGAAGATGCACTGAAATTAGTATATCAGGAAGGCTTACTGACTACTGGAGAGACCAAACTGGCCTACAAGAAAGACCAAATGAAGAACAGAATAGAGGCATGGGAAGACAAAGCACTACATGGCCAATACATTAAAAAAATAGCTGGGAAAGCAGATAATAACAAGACCTGGCAATGGCTAAGAGCAGGAAAATTGAAGAAAGAGACCGAGGGACTAATTCTGGCTGCACAAGACCAAGCCTTAAGGACAAATGCATATAAAGTCAAAATTGAGAAGACAGCAACAGACAGTAAGTGCCGCCTATGCAAAGAAGCTGAAGAAACAGTGGACCACCTGGTAAGCTGTTGCAAGAAGATTGCACAGACTGACTATAAGCAGCGGCATGACAAAGTAGCAACAATGGTGCATTGGAAGATCTGCAAAAAATATCATTTGCCTGTAAGCAAAAACTGGTGGGATCATAAAATAGAGAAAGTCATAGAAAATGATAAAATTAAACTTCTCTGGGACTTCAGAATTCAAACAGACAACCACGATGTAAAAAAGATGTTGAGACTCTAGAAAGAGTACAGAGAAGAGCAACAAAGATGATTAGGGGACTGGAGGCTAAAACATATAAGGAACGGTTGCTAGAATTGGGTATGTCTAGTTTAACGAAGAGAAGGACAAGGGGGGACATGATAGCAGTATTCCAATATCTCGGGCTGCCATAAAGAAGAGGGAATTAAGCTATTTTCCAAAGCACCTGAAGGCAGGACAAGAAGCAACAGGTGGAAACTAATCAAGGAGAGAAGCAACCTAGAACTAGGAGAAACTTCCTGACAGTGAGAACAATTAATCAGTGGAACAGCTTGCCTCCAGAAGCAGTAAATGCTCCAACACTGGAAGTTTTTAAGAAGAGACTGGACAGCCATTTGTCCGAAATGGTGTAGGGTTTCCTGCCCGAGCTGGGGGTTGGACTAGATGACCTCCAAGGTCCCTTCCAACTTTACTACTACTATTATTATTATAACACCCCAGACTTAACAATTGTCAATAAGAAAGACAAAAAAGTCTGGATAGTGGATGTGGCAATGCCTAGAGACAGCAGAATAGAAGAGAAAGAGCTGGAGAAGATAACAAAATACAAAGACCTACAGATAGAAATAGAAAGACTGTGGCAAAAGCAAGCAAGGATAGTACCAATAGTCATAGGCGCCTTGGATGCAATCCCAAAACAACTGGAGCACCACTTGAACACCATTGGCATTGACAAATTTGCCGTTAGTCAATTGAAAAAGGCGGCCTTACTAGGAACTGCTTCCATCCTGCGACGATACCTGTAATACCATCAAACATCCACATCTGCCTATCCCAGGTCCTGGGTAAGGACTCGATAGGTAGACAAAATGCCAAATCCAGTCTGAACATCTGGCTGACTGTGCGATGATCCAATAATAATAATAATAATAATAATAATAATAATAATAATAATAATATGATGATGATGATGATGATGATGATGTTGGAAGGGACCTTGGAGGTCATCAAGTCTAACCCCCTGCTCAGGCAGGAAACCCTACACTATTTTGGACAAATGGCTGTCCAGTCTCTTCTTGAAAACTTCCAGTGTTGAAGCATTTACTGCTTCTAGAGGCAGGTTGTTCCACTGATTAATTGTTCTCATTGTCAGGAAGTTTCTCCTTAGTTCTAGGTTGCTTCTCTCCTTGATTAGTTTCCATCCGTTGCTTCTTGTCCTGCCCTCAGGCGCTTTGGAGAATAGCTTGACTCCCTCTTCTTTGTGGCAGCCCCTGAGATATTGGAACAGTGCTATCATGTCTCCCCTCATCCTTCTCTTCGTTAAACTAGACATACCCAATTCCAGCAACCATTCCTCATATGTTTTAGCCTCCATTCCCCTAATCATCTTTGTTGCTCTTCTCTGTACTCTTTCTAGAGTCTCAGCATCTTTTTTACATCGTGGTGACCAAAACTGGATACAGTATTCCAAGTGTGGCCTTACCAAGGCGTTGTAAAGTGGTATTAATACTTCACGTGATCTTGATTCTATCCCTCTGTTAATGCAGCCCAGCACTGAGTTGGCTTTTTTGGCAGCTGCAGCACACTGCTGGCTCATATTTAAGTGATTGTCCACTAGGACTCCGAGACCCCTCTCACAGTTACTACTATTGAGCAAGGTACCCCCTATACTATACCTGTACATTTGGTTTTTCTTGCCTAAATGTAGAACCTAATTTTTTTCACAATTGAATTTCATTTTGTTAGATAGCACCCAGTGTTCAAGTCTGTCTAGGTCCTCCTGTATCTTAAGTGTGTCTTCTGGAGTGTTGGCTATTCCTGCCAGCTTGGTGTTATCTGCAAATTTGATGAGTTCCCCATCTATCCCCTCGTCCAAATCGTTGATGAAGATGTTGAAGAGCACTAGGCCTAGAACAGAGCCCTGGGGCAGCCCACTACACACTTCCCTCCATGTAGATGCAGTTCCATTGAGGACCACATGCTGAGTACGGCTGGTCAGCTACGAATCCATCTGGTGGTGATGCTGTCTAGCCCACATTTTTCTATCTTATCGAGTAGTAGGTTGTGATCTACTTTATCAAATGCCTTATTGAAGTCCAAGTAAATTATAAAAACTCATCAAATTTGCAGATGACACCAAACTGGCAGGAGTAGCCAACATCCCAGAAGAGAAACCCAGGATCCAAAAAGATCTTGACAAACTTGAACAATGGGCCCTATCATTGAAAATGAGTTTCAATGTAGAAAAAAGCAAAGTTTTACATTTAGCCAGGAAAAATCAAAGGTACCAGTACAGTTTGGGCAAGACCTGGCTTAAAAACAGTAACTGTGAGAGGGAGCTTGGAGTCCTAGTGAATGATCAGTTAACCATGAGTGCAGCAGCAGCCAAAAAAGCTAATACAATCCTGGATTGTATAAACAGAGACATAGAATCAAGATCATGCGAGGTATTATTACCGCTTTATAAAACCCTAATAAACACACCTAGAATACTGCAGCCAATGTTGGTCACCATATCACAAAAAAGATGTTGAGAGTTTGAAAAAAATTCAGAGAAGAGCAACTAAGATGATCAAAGGCCTGGAGACTAAAACATGCGAAGAATGGCTGCAGGACTTGAGTTTGGCTAGTCTAAAGAAAAGAAGAAATAGGGGAGACATGATAGCAGTATTCCAGTATTTGAGTGGCTGCCACAAAGAAGAGTGGGTCACGTTATTCACCAAAGCACCAGAGGGCAGGACAAGAAATTGGTTGGAAACTGATCAAAGAGAAGCATGCTGGAATTAAGGAAAAACTTCCTGACAGAACAATTAACCAGTGGAATAGCTTGCCTCCAGAAATTGTGGGCGCTCCATCACTGGAGATTTTTAAAAAGAGGCTAGACAGTCACTTGTCTGAGATGGTATACGTCTTCCTGCTTGAGCAGGGGGCTGGACTAGACTTCCATATTCTATTCTATTCTATTCTATTCTATTCTATTCTATTCTATTCTATTCTATTCTATATATGTGCTGGATGTACATTTTCATTTGGTAGCATTGGTCATATGTAGCACATAGTTAAGAACTATGGATTTTTATGCTAGAACAGTTTTATGTAACCTGATCTGTTTCTGCAGATTAGTATTTTATGGAATGAAGCTTAATGTCATTTGTTCTTATGAACTTTCTTACTTTCCTTTTGCCAGAAAAATTGCTCATTTAAGTATTTTTCCATAAATACTTAAATACCACCATTTCTTTTTATTTTTCAGAAGAATGTTTTTTTTAAAAAGTACTAAATTAAAATAATTTCTTACTAGAAGTATCATTTTGCATATGTGCATACCCAATTAGAAACACACTAGTAAATTTTTACAAAAATGTAAATTGGTTAAAAATTATCTTGGTTAAACATGGCAGGCAATTTTTTTCTGCCTTTCCATTTAAAATGTTGCATATGTATTAAGAGCCTTTAAAAACATATGGGAAAATAGTTGTCAAGGAAGCAGAGAATGTGTGTGTGTGTATGTGTGTGTGTGTGAGATTAAATATCTTTAATCCATTATCTCTCTGTATTGAAATGCTTCTTTACAGATTAGGTTTTCCAGTTCTTGAAAGAATATTGGATTATTGGAAACTTTAGTGCATTAGAAAAAACTCTGACAAAAAAACTCCAATAATAACATATTCCTGTTTTCATCAGGAATGCATTTCAGGAAATATTTTAATTTCTTTTTTAATGGAGCAATTCCTGATTCGTTCAAAACCACAGTACTGTTTTTAATAGACTGACTTAATATTGTGTGATTAATTATTTAACAAATTTGTTTATCACATTTCTATACAGCATAATGTCCATATTAAAAGTAATCAAGAATGCACATATAGTCAGAACAAGAATTTTTGTAATTAAAAATTGTGACACAGAATTATCCTGAGGATTAGTGAAATGGTAAACAAAGATGAATAAACTATTTTTTGTAGTATAATAGAGACATTTGAAAAAAATATTTGGAATTAGAATTGGCAGTTCTGTTACTGTTTATTTTTTATTATTTTCTCATTCATCCCATTCAAATTCATCCATTGAATCACTGAATTTATCTGTTGGGTTGTCCCAGTGCAGGCTACTTGGATGGCTTATGATATGGTGGTAATGCGCGCTAATCCAGACTTGGCCAATTCAATGAGACGTCTGGAAGATGCCTTTCTCACTTGTAAGGAAGAAATGGAGAAAAACTGGCAGGAAATGTTGAAGGAGACTAAAGGTGCTGAACCAAAACAATAACTGGTTTTGAAATCTCTGGTGGAAATTCAGACCTGGGAAGAGTTAGTCTTGAGTAGTGTGGTCAGTGTTTATTTACAAAATACATTTAAAAAATATTTTTCTGAGCTGTGTCTATTTCAATTTTTATTCTTCAATGGAAATGCTTTCAAACATTTAGGTGGTATGTACAACTACAGTATGATTTTATTGTATTTTCATCATTGATGATGTCAGTCACAGAACTTATTCTTATCAAATTAGTTTCTCTATTAACTTGTAAAATTAATAAGAATAGGAGTTACTGAAACTAAAGTTACTGATCTTGATGTTGCTATCTAAATTTACAAGAAAGAAAAATTTATAAATTCGATCCAGTTTATTCCCAATACCATTTGTAGGAGTGCAGCCCTAAATCACAAATAAGTAAGATGGGAATAATTTGACCACAAGATGGCACTCACACATAGGATCAATTTTAGAAAGACAAACCTCAGAATGCCAACAGTATAGGTTGTATCCATATAGACAGTAAAACCTCAGGTTAATAGATAATTCAGAAAAGAGATGGGATATCTGAATATATGTTAAAGTCAAAGATGGAAATAGAATAATATAATTCCTAAGAAATGACGGGGTAGAAGATAAAACAAAGATAGTTACTCTCTTTTTTTCTGATTTGAGGCAAGCCATGAGGAGTTGGAGAGGGAAAAGTACTTCCTCACATGAGATAAAGAATACACTGAATGGCTACCTATACTAGTGAAATTAGCAGAGTGAAAGAAGATATGTTTGAAATTCTTGGCATTGACTGACAAGGAGATCAGTCATCTTTGGAAAGTGATGAGATAGAAGCATGGATGCACCAAGAAAAGGCAAAGAATCTGCTTAGCTCTCTTCTTCCCTTTTCTATGTTCAAGAGGGTGCAGGGGGATGGGAAAATGACAGGCAAAGGAGGAGCAGAAAGGATTCAAGACTGGGAAGTGAATCCTCACGAGAGTGAAAAGTTACCCTTGTAAGGTAGTACCTTATGGTAGATGCAAAAACCATATGTATACCAAGATACAGAGGGGCTGTTTGGATCAAGGTCTCTTTCTCTTCTTTGTGTTCAAAAGATAGGAGGGCATCTGAGGGCATCTTACCTATTATGAGAGTGAGTAAGAGTACTGAGTATGTTTTTATGGTAGTAACTGCACTAGTACTGTTGCAAGTCTCCAGACACAGACATGTCATGCAATGCATGCAGAGAAGGAGGCTGAAGTTCCACCCACTTGAAATCTCCAGTGAAGCTAATTGAGAAGTGACCATTGTCACGACTGCTCTGTCAGACAATACATACTATACAGAATCTGGAGACAAAGTCTTTATTGAAATTTTGTTTGGTATATGCAAAGACTGCTGAAAGGAGGTTTTTATTACATTTTGCTATAATACACATTGGCTACTATTTATTATTGCAATTTTATTGTGTATACAAGTCCCACTCAGGTGATGATATATTTTCATGAACGTGTACTCCCCAGGCATAGCTGACACCTATCTCCATGAATATAAGACAAGGAAGCTTCATAGAGCATGTAGTTGCATGTATTTATGAACTATTGATAATTCGGATAACATGTCTTTATAGAGGACCCAAAGCTGCTTTTTCAAGAGGCGCTGGACTTTCTTATTTTTTCTTTGAAGACGTTTCGCTTCTCATTCGAGAAGCTGCTTCAGCTCTTGACCTAGATGACTGAGAATCTCCATAGACGTCTTTATAGAGAGTTCCTTTACATGGGAGTCGGTAGTTCAACTACAGTACATGGCAAGTATACCATATTGCCAGAATAGAGTTACTGATAATTACTTTCTAGTCATTAGTAATCACTCTTCCATTTTTTCTTAATTACTATGTGACCCAGTCAAAAATAGTATGATCAGAATCCATTTCTGCACTGATACAAATCTTGAATGTTGAACACCCATAGTTGTTTCTTAAAGCAGGAGGTACAGCAGCACACATTGCTTCCATGTTTCCTTTCATTAGTCCTATGGATGCACCTGCACCTGAAAAAAGATTAGAATTCTAAGATTTTCAGAATGATCTCTATATGAAAACATACATGTTTTTGAGCATTGTGAACATAGGAAGCTATAGGAATTCTGAGCAAGCTCCTTGTTCCTGATTCTCCCCTTCTCCCACCACAAGAATAACAGTAATAGAAAAGATGTGGTAGACCACCTGACTGCTCCAAACCTGTTTGTAGAAAAACTGGCTACAGATTATTCTTAAAACGTTTTTGCAAAGGCCTATTATATCAACTGTATGGAAACAAGTGAACTATTTCACTTGTAGTCAGATATTCTTCCTTTGACCTTAAATGTGAAAAGGTATTAGTTTTTTTTCTCTGTCTTCCCCCTCACTCCCCTTGTTTAGAACATCTTCCACTCTTCCCACATTCCTTTCAGAAACTTCTAGGGTAGGCTATTAAACTAATTACTTTTGGCCATCCTACTGATATAAACAAGATTTCTTAAAAAATATTTAAAATCTCTTTAAGTTGTCTAAGTTTCTATCAGCAATCTAGAACTTTGCAGGTTCAGTCACCAAAATTATGTTGTTTTGGGCAACATGGCACTGATTAGCTGTGGAAAACAATAAAACAAAACAAAAGATTCTGTTTTCAGCTTGGTGGAATGGAAACATTAACGATATTAAAAAAAACAACCACAGGCGAGAAATCCCCACCAAGGCAGCTGCTAGCATTTACTCCTAAAACACTCAGCAGCACAAAAAGAGCTGTTGTGAGCTTTGTACATATCCTTGCTCAGCGGAACAATAATATTTTATATTTGAAATGCCAGAAGAGCAGAATTCCAGATGGACAAACTTAAATCAGCTATTTCAAACATGGGCTTTTTTGCAACAAATTGCAAAATTTGGACTGTAGTGGCAGAACACAGGAGCAGAAGGTATAAGTGGTATAAGTGAATACCCAAAATGCAATAAAGAACAAAGGTTCAGCAAGCCACCAAAATCTTTAAAAGGGTTGCTTTTAAAAAATGCACTCAAAAGCAAGACTGTAACTCCAAAAGAGCAAACTTGATTAGCCAGCCAATCTAGTGAATGAGAATGTTTTGGGGAGAGGGGAGGGACAGGAAAAGTTGACTTTCTGAGGTCTTCTATGCTGTAGATTATGGAATTTTCAGTATATTTTAAAGATCATACAAATTTTAAGATGTGTGCCCCAAACCTCAGTAGAACACAACAGAACATACATATGCACAAAAGAAATCATTTGGACTAGCATTTGTATATATTGTAGTATTGTGTAGCATAAAATAATATTGCACATTTTAATACGAAAGCAAGGTTCCTGCCAACCTTATTATTCTATAATTTTAATATATATAGTGGTGTGCACACATAAGCATCTATATCACCCCAATGGTATTACTAGTAATTTAGCTTTAATTACTGGTTTTCCTCTGCAGACCTCATACATCTGATCCATATGAAAATCAATTTCCCAATAGCAGATTTAAAAACAAAAGATCAGTATTTTAGTTTCCAGGCAATTTGTGATGATACTGATTAGTGCTCTGGCATCTGAATTTTATTGTTTGCTGATGGCCAAAGCTTCGCCTGTGTACTGTATGGGTAATAGGTGATAAACATAGGTGGTCTCAAAGCCAGTGGTTGTCTGACCTGTTGGGTCAATGATTCAGGAATGCTATCATGGATCACAAGTGGTAAGTGAGCCATTGGGGTAAGCCATGAAGAAGAAGTAGAAGATGGAGACCTTGAGGAGAATGATGGATGAATCCTATAGTATATCAGCTAGTGTAGTAATTAGACTTACATAAAGTTTCTCTCTTTTTTAATATATTTTATTAATTTTTACAATAACATTCTTTAGTGATTAATAAACAGTGTGTTGTCTGTATTCATATGTTTAAAAAAATAATAATTTTATTTTATTTATTTAATTATTAAAATTTATAGACCGCCCCACTCCAGCAGGACTCCGGGCGGCTAACAATAAAAACACAACATAACTTAACAAAACAAACAATACAATAACATTCATCCAGGGGTCAGATTTTATAAACCCCAGGCCTGCCGGAAAAACCAGGTCTTAAGCAGCTTGCGGAAAACCAACAGGGTGGGAGCGGTCCTAATCTCTGGGGGGAGCTGGTTCCAAGACGTGGGCGCCATCACAGAGAAAGCCTTCCCCACAGCCCCACCAAATGGCACTGCTTGGCCGACGGGACCTGAAGGAGGCCCAGCCTGTGGGATCTAACCGGACGAAGGGAACTATGAGGTAGTAGGCGGCCTCGCAAATAGCCTGGCTCTGAGCCATATAGAGCATTAAAGGTAATAACCAACACCTTGAATTGGACCCGGAGACCAATAGGCAATCAGTGCAGCTCACGGAGGATAGGTGTAACGTGGGTGTACCGAGGAACACCCACTATCACTTGCGCGGCTGCATTCTGAACCAACTGTAGTCTCCAAATACTTTTCAAGGGTAGCCCCATGTAGAGCGCGTTGCAGTAGTCCAGGCGTGAGGTGACAAGGGCATGAGTGACTGTAAGGAGAGCCTCCTGGTCCAGGTAGGGTCGCAACTGGTGCAACAGACGAACTTGTGCAAAGGTCCTCCCAGCCACAGCCGTCAAATGATGTTCCAATTTCAGCTGTGGATCAAGGAGGACACCCAAGTTGCGAACCCGCTCCGAAGGGGGTATATTTTCCCCTGCTAGAGTCAACACTGGACAGTTAACATGATCCTTGGGAGGCAACATCCAAAGCCACTCGGTCTTGTCAGGATTGAGCCTGAGTCTGTTAATCCCCATTCAGACCCTCACGGCTTCAAGGCAATGGCCCATCACATTAGCCGCTTCACTGAGAGAGCTCGGGGAAGAGAGATATAGCTGGGTATCATCAGCATACTGATGAAACCTCACCCCGTACTGTCTGATGATCTCACCCAGCAGCTTCATGTAAATGTTAAATGGGGAGAGGACCGACCCCTGCGGCACCCCGCATTCAAGGGGCCTTGGGGTTGACCTCTGCCCCCCCCACCAGTACCGATTGCAACCGGCCAGAGAGGTAGGAGGAGAACCACCGTAAAAC